ATATTACTAATCAAAAATTAAGTTTTGATATATTTACGGTAGGGATACACGATATTGGATTTTTGCCGATATCAGATATGGCGATATTTTTCAACTCATTTTGGCCGATTGCCGATGCCGATATATTTCCTTTTGTTTGGGAACACCAAATCTCTCCTGTGTGGAAATTATAAGCAAATTATTTTTACTTTTGGTCAGTTTTTAACAAGAACTTTTTTGTTAGAATTAAATAAACAACAATGAATTTTTTTTTGACAGTACATTGAAGCTTTGAAAATAACTATAAATAAACTATATATCAATCGCAGCATTTCCCCCCCCCCAGAAAGATGCAAGGTTAACCCTAAAATTTAATTTTAAGATTTTACATTTGTAGATGGTCTAAAGCAAAAGAGTTGTAAAAATTCTGAAAAACTTTTAGAGCTTATGATTTGTTTACAAAATAAAACATATTACACATTAATGAATAAATCAGTATATATAAAATTATTTAATTTACAAGTGTCATGTTTGTGATTTTTTTTTAAAATTTATGTAAGCTATAGCTTCTGACCTTTAAATCAAAACATACTCATGATTTTATGACATCAATTACTGCTTTATTTAATCAGAAAAACAGTCTAAATGTTATTTGTGTATTTTACTTACATTTTATTAGAAGTAGGCCAACAGCTCCCCCTATGGAATTAAAACAATGGGCGGGCATTAGGACCCGGGGGAGGCTGCCGCTGCTGTCACTGCACCTGTTATTACTGTTTACCCTATCACACACCTAACGCGTCATTCTGTACGTGCTTTCTCAGTTTAAATGCAGCGATCCAAAAAAGTAATCCAATCACCATTCAGGCAAAACTTTGCTTCAAGAATGAGCCACACTGCTGACCTGATCTAATCGCTAGCACACCCTGAGCACATGTGACTAAACGTATTCCTCCTATCGGCAATGCATATTGGCATAATTTTTCATATCGGGCCAATGCCGATATGTACATTTAAAGCCATTATCGGCCGATTCCGATATCGGTCTGATAATATCGTGCGTTCCTAATTTACGGTAGGAAATTTACAAAATATGTTCATGGAACATGATCTTCGCTAGCACACCCTGAGCACATGTGACTAAACGTATTCCTCCTATCGGCAATGCATATTGGCATAATTTTTCATATCGGGCCAATGCCGATATGTACATTTAAAGCCATTATCGGCCGATTCCGATATCGGTCTGATAATATCGTGCGTTCCTAATTTACGGTAGGAAATTTACAAAATATCTTCATGGAACATGATCTTTACTTAATATCCTAATGATTTTTGGCATAAAAGAAAAATCTATCATTTTGACCCATACGATGTATTTTTGGGTATTGCTACAAACACACCCGTGAAACTTAAGACTGGTTTTGTGGTCCAGGGTCACGTTTAGTTATTCATGTGTGAATTCATATCACTTCCTACAGTTTAAGGAATGAAGCAGCAGGTAATCTAAATAAGCTAACTCTCTGAAAGTGGCATTTCTCTGAGGCATTGTACTGGACTGAAGTGAACAAGATTGAAACTAATCTTGCAGATTTGGTTGCAGATCATGCATTTAGTTTTGATTTTGTGATGCATTGCAGCATATTGAATCATAACGCTGTACCGTGAGCCAGTTGGAAATACCAAGTTCTAGTGTTTACTTTAGTTTACTGTCTATTTTATGTGTGGAAGGCCTGATTTGGTGGCCAGTTGTTCTGATCATTGAGGCCTCAAATTCACATTACACAGCCTGGTGAGTTGCAGCTGTGCTTTACGTGTTGGAAATTGATTGACAGGAGCCAGCAGCCAATTAATACACTCTTATTTATGTTAAATAACTTTCTGTGACTTCCTCTCTGTTTAATGTTTATGTTGACCAAATCTTTAGGAATGCCACAAGGAGTAGTAATTGACCATCCTTAGAGTGCTGTGCAAGTCTTAGCCTCATGAGAATGCTTGAGGATCTTAAGCAATCTAAACAAACAGCCTCCTTTTGGCCTTTTCTGATTGCTTTGGATCAGTAGTGACTGAAACATGGTTGCACTGTGAAAGGTTTTCGATCAAACTCTGCAAAGCTGCCCTGTCCAATTACATTTCTCTCTCTACTTAAGCCTACCCTAGCAGAGCTCTGCCTTTCTCTAACAGGCCTGCCTGAGCCAGCCAATTAAAGCCCCTGCCTGCAGAAAAAGACAGCCAATCAGATTTCGCAGAGGTCAATGTGATGGTGGTCAGCGGTTGACTGAGGAGTGACAAACTAGACAAATATACAAGCATCATTGGTCTGTGTCAGAGAAAGGGTAAAAAAAAGTTAATTGAATTAAAATGCAAAATAGTATTGTGCTGTGTGCTGCAATTCAATTCAATTCAAGTTTATTTGTATAGCGCTTTTCACGATACAAATCATTGCAAAGTAACTTTACAGCAAATTAAGTTTCTACAATATTTAGCGGTAGCTTATCAGTGGTGAAAAACAGACGATGAACACTATTAACAGCAATTATTATATGATGCAATCAAACTTATAGCAAAATGTGGTAGTTCTGTATGTTGTTTCAGGGTTGGCATCATCTGAGGTCCTCTGAGGGGTTGGCATCATCTCTTCTCAGGTGTTCTGGATCCAGACTGAAGCTTGTGTAAATCCTAGTTACCACGGGATGTCAATCCCAACAGCAAATAGAGACATAATTAGCGTAGCTGCTGTTCCAACCAAATTGATTTGTTTAACCCAAACTAAAAAATAATAATGTGCATTTGATCAGATATAACTGCAGTACAAGATTATGAGATGCATTATTTGAATGCTTGGCCAAAGAGATGTGTCTTTAATCTAGATTTAAACAGAGAGAGTGTGTCTGAACCCCGAACGTTATTAGGAAGGCTATTCCAGAGTTTGGGAGCCAAGTGCGAAAAAGCTCTACCTCCTTTAGTGGACTTAGCTATCCTAGGTACTACCAAAAGTCCAGAGTTTTGCGACCTTAGGGAGCGTGATGGATTGTAGCGTGGTAGAAGACTAGTTAGGTACGCAGGAGCTAACCCATTAAGGGCCTTATAGGTAAGTAATAATATTTTGTAACTGATACGGAACTTAATAGGTAGCCAGTGCAGAGACTGGAAAATTGGAAAATTGCTGCCCTGTAACATTGAGGCACTGCCTGAAGAAAGACTATGATTCCAGGTCGTCCTCATCCACCCACTCTGCCAGTGGATTTTATATGCAAATAAATGATTAAAAACAACTCATTATCAGTTTAAGGCATTTTGCTTAGTTTGTGGAGGCGGTCTGTTAACTGAAAAGCACATAAAAATGACTAAAACTTAAACTAAAATCAAAAAGAAAACTGAAAATATATAAAATAAAAGTTAATCCAAAATATGAGTAGGTACTATTATACTACATAAATAAAACTAAAATAACTAAAATGCTTTTGCTTCAGAAGCCTGATTTTTACATCGGACATCAAGTGGTAGGCCGACACAGTACCAGCATTTTTATTGTACAGAAAAACAGAAACCGAAAATGTTGCAGAAAATCAAACATTGACACTTATCATGATTACAGTGAACAGCTAATATGAAACATCATGTTTTTTGAGGATGAGGTCATGTCACACCATCTACCTCCATTTGTTCAGATTCTACAAATGACAAATAAATTTACATTGAAGTACCATAGTTTGATTGGACAGTTAAATTGTGATGTCAACAACAAAGCTTGATTATGGTTTTAGTTTCATTTAATTATTTGTGTTTAGTGTTGCTTTTCCCCCCTTCTTCTGTGACCCTATAAAAACAGACCTGTGACACATTTTTGGGTCCTGAGCCACCAATTGATAGCCACTGTTTTAAACTAAACACATGAATGAATTGTAACCCTCCTCTTAGTGTTTGCAGATTATGTACGTCAACTTGATTTAATTACCTCCTGTTAGGCATTAGGGTTGTGACGGTGAGGAAATTTTCCCACCGGTTAATCGACGTGTGACAACACCGGTAGTACCGGAATCACCGTGGGGTCGTTCCCTCTTTTCCTCGCTTTCCTTCGCTTTTAAATAGCTTGTAAAAGCGGCGTGCGCATTTTACTTTCACTTTCAAATAGTGGCAATTCGGAGTAAAGCAATTGTTCGTTTTTAGTTAGTTTGAATTTTCCCTCTTTTCCTCGCTTTCCTTCGCTTTTAAATAGCTTGTAAAAGCGGCGTGCGCATTTTACTTTCACTTTAGAATTAGCGGCAGTTAGGCGTCAATTGCTTGAATGCAACAACAAAATACAACGTCAAACTCACTTTAGCATATATATAAAACATAGAACTTTTATTAACAAAACAAATAAAAATACACCATGCTATAGGGCAGGCTATGCCTAATATAAAATAACAAATAACTTACATAAAGTTTAAATGTACAAAACTGGAAACAAGTAAACATGTATAATATATAACCAAATAAATAAGAAACGTAGAACGTTTATTAGCAAAACGAGTAAGAAAGCTTGGAGGCACGGCATACACCTTGATGTCAAATAAAATAAATAAATTACACAAAGTTTAAATAAA